GTAGAAACTGACACACACATTGGCATCAATTTTTTATGTAACACAAATGAGATGTCCATTTGGATGATATGAGACTCTATTATACTCATATGTAGCTTCTTATGATCCAATGAATCCATAAATCCTTTTGCAAGGACTTTGGGCATGAAACTGTGGTTTGAATTTGTGTAGTCGTGCCCAAAAGTGGTTACTCTTTATTGGCATTAATTTTTGATGTTTCACACATTTGGTGCCTATTTTAATATTTGATGATTATATTACACTCATAATTGCCTTGTGCGTGTTTTTCCAAAATTTGGGTTTGGTTAGGCACACTCATGCCAGAACTTATTGCACTTGTGCCATTCCAGCCTCCTCAAGCGTCCCCACACTAGTGGCATCCTCTCGTCAAATTCAGGCACCCTAATGCTAGGGACTGGTGCCAGAAATAAACCTAGGTAGTGCCCAGGCATCAGTTTTGGGTGCTCCTGCACTTAGAAATTGCTAGGTTTTGATTTTGGTGAACTTTTCTGAACAAATAATCTCATATGAGGCCAAAATGGATTATGAAAAGGTGGAGGATGGTACCATAGAATGCTCCTTAGCCTCTAACTCAAAAAACTGCCAATTCCATGCGTGTTGTGTAGATTAAAGCCCATTTCTATATGGCCACCTCGAGGATTTCATGGTCAAAGGAGGGCTAATTTTTGGAAAGCATTTTGGCTCCATTCCTCTTTATTTTGCAGCTCAATTGAAACTTAATGGAGTAGAAATGAGACTGATCCTTCTAGAGAGACTTGAAGAGAAAGTGGAAAACCCCAGAGGAGCTCCTGGAGAGAAACGAAGTGCAATCATCTTCCACAAACTTCTTCTTCATTTTCTTCTTCTTTTTCCTTGATTTGTTCTTATTCTTTCTAACCTTCTTCTTCAACTTCATCTTATTTTAAGATTGAGAAAAAAAAAAGTGAGTTTTTGGAGTTTCCTTGGAAGAGTAGAGCCTACATCCTTGCACAAGGAGAAGCTTGGACAAGCAAAGAGAATGTTTCAACAAATGCCACGGTGGTGAAATCATCTTGCACTTTTATTTCTTTTTTTTTCTCAGAAATGCCCTTCTAGATATGTAGAGTTATAGGGTACGTTGATGTTAGATAAGCCTTAGGTTAAGAACCTTTTCTTATTTTTCCCAAGATTCTTGAGAGATTATTCCCAAAACCCCTCTCCTTCACCTATATATTCAAGATTGTAGTAATCTTGTATTTGTTGTGATGGCTCCATCTTTTTGATTGTATGATGGAGCATTTGAGCCTAAGGAATGGTAAAACCCCTTTGATTTTCTATTCTCTAAGTCGTGAAAGTTTTCTTCGTGAAATCTCCTCATATTTCCATTACACAAATGGAGGTGGGCACATTATTATCTTGCATAATAATGAATTTTTACATCTCTCCATCATTAAAACCAAAACCCTCAGAGGTTGCCTAGGTAGGTTGACTTGTCATCAAATAGGTCTAGGGCTTCATCATTTTGAGCATGTGTACATTTCTCATGAGCATGCATGATTTCAAAATATTGGATAAAATATGTTCTATGTTTTGATTGTAATTTAATAGCAGGGTGTGTGAAACTTGTGTTTATTATTTTGCTTGTAATTTATCACTAAGCATACATGAAAATATAATTTGTATTGTATTTTGTGATTTGATACTAAATATGTAAGAAAGATCATTTTATATTTTTGATTTGATAGGGAAGGGGATAAGTATACTTTTGTTTATATTTTTACTTGGATTTATGTGTAAGACTTGGTGCATTATTTTTGAAGTTGAATCAAAGTTTATTTTGTTGAGTTTTATAACGAGCAGCGAGTAATTTACTTTATTTCTTTTTTGAATTAGAAAGATGGTAAAATATAATTTAGGTTTCTTTTATCATATGCACTTGAACTTTCTTATTGGTGTTGTGTTTACCTTTAAATTTATTTTAGATTCATAGAATAATTAAGATCATTCTCTGGAAAGATGAGCTCTGAGATCTGGAAAGATAATTTCTAGAATGAAAATAGTTAATCACTTAAAATCACTGGAATTGAGATATTAAGTTTGAGTTTAGGCAATCAATAGGAAGATGAAATTGCTTCAACTAATCATGAGATTTAAGAACCTAAAACCGTGATAGCCAATCTTTCTTAGAATACCAAAAGGGGAAAAGAAAGAATTTACCCCTGATTGACATTGAGCTTTAATCATTTCCTCAATTCTACTCACTACTAGACCAATTCGGGGGGTAAATATTAAAATCTTAAATCTTAAAAATTCTTCTCACCTGCTAGGTTAGTCTTGTTTTTAAAATTTATTAGAATAAAAATTTTATTGAACTCTGAGAATTTCAACATTTCATGCTATGACCAACATTAATAAACTAGAGCATCTCATTCTTTATGTGATCGACAGACAGAACTCAATTCCATATATTATTTACACACTACGCATATTTGTGTGAGTTGTTCGTCTTTTGCTGCACTTGGAGCGTGTCAATATTTAAATGCCTACATTTTTCTATTCCTATCTTAGATGTGTAAATCACAATATTTCTAGTGTCTTTTCTTTTTTTGAAGTCATATTTTGCCATTCTTAACCTTTTATCTATACTCCTTGTTGGCATATGTGTTATTTATTCAGTCTATTTGGTCATAGAAAAGTTCTCTATAAAAGCCATTTTAGAAAGGTAGTTATGGAAAACCATTATTCTGAGAGCTATTTTTCAGGTTGAATGCAATCAACCAAATACATGTTCCTGATTCAAGGTCGAATGCAAGTGGTCAAACACAGTTTCTTGGTTTAGGGCCAAATGCAGGAGGACGAATGAAGTTTCTGGTCTAGAACTGAATACAATTTCTTAGTTCAGGGATAAATTTATGTTCTTGGTTCAGGACTGAATGTAGGTTCCTAGTTCAAAACTAAATGCATGTTCCTGATTTATGGGATTTTTGTCATGCATATTTAGTTTCCCAGTTTTCTTATGTCTATGAAAGACAATTGCAAAAAGAATGAGATAATGATAAATATAAAGTTATTCATTGCTCGTCTCTTTAAGTCCAATGTATATCCATTAGATGTGTTGCCTTTTCCAAATACGAGTAAAAATTATTCACGTAAAAATGAGTGGTGTATATCTTCATGTGGTGACTATTCGTCCACCCGGGGCTCTTAGCTCTCCTACAATGAATTATCATAGGGCCACTTTGGCTACACCTAAAAGATTATATCGGTGGGTCATTTTGGCTTGTCTTTAGGGAGTAGTCTCTTATATTACTAACTCATCGTTATTTTCATAATGATTTTTTTTCTTTTTTTGCGATTAGATTGGCATGCTTTTTATAATATAACTAAATTACATAGGAATTCAACCTATTTCATTAAATTTGAGTTATCCTTCACCTAGGGACCATAACTGACTATTGAGAGCAATCACCATAAATTTTTAACTTTATTTAGGTAAAGATGTAGTGATCTTTAATTCTTAGGTTAACTGACTTCATTTTTTTATTTAATTGAGTTATATTTTATAAAACAATTCTCCAAACCTGTTCCTGACATTTGGCTATTGAGATGAGTAATGTCTTAACTTGGGCGATTCTCATTTATTCTTAAGAAAATTGCTTATGAGGGAAAGTTATTAGGGTGAATTGACGAACTCGTTCTATTTAATAAGTAATATATGAATTATTCATTATAAACACACCAAAGGAGTTATCAAAAGTAAAATAAGAATAAAATAAAAACAAAAACAAGAAAGAGTGTTTTGAGAGATTTTCCCTTTTGTTAGAGATTTTCTTGTTTCTTAGCTCCACTCCATTGTTGCTCATCTTCTCTTGGACAAATTATTTCACTGAAAATGTTTTTTTTGGAAAACTCTCTTCGGGGAGCTATTTTTTATGGCCTAATGCAGGTACTAGCTTAAGACTGAATGCAGGTTCCTAGTTTAGGGATAAGTGTATGTGGTCAATTAGACGAGTTCAATTATTCGCCCAAATGAGTTCTCTAATGTATTACATGTTGCTAGTTACGTCAGTATCAATCAATTATGCTCATTGTATATTTCATTTTCTTATTTGTGGCATGATCCACACTCATTGTATTTTCTTAGGTTGTTGAATCCCTTTTTTGTCCTTGAATCACACCCAAAAAATAAAGCTAGTTAAAAGGGGGAGAGTTTTTGATGTAAAGAAGAGAGAAAGAGAGAAAGAGAGAGAGAGAGAGAGAGAGAGAGAGAGAGTAGAGAAAGTGTTGTATCAATTTCTCCAATAGCTATCCCGTGTTGGCAAAGGAAGAAGCCCCCTTCACATTAACTCCCCCTCTTATATTGAGGCAATTTTTTCAAAATAATACGTGTAAGCTATAATTACTTATAGATTTCCTGAGATTTCTGACTACCCAGATCTATCATTTACTAACTCGGGTGTATAAATTATTATATCTCTTATCTCTTTTTTTTTCCATTGAACTTGCCTTTTACCTATCTTTCCATTATGATATGTATTCTCGATTGTCACATCTATTGCCTATTCGGTTTGTTGGTCCATAGATGAGTTATCTGAAAGAGTCGTTTTGCGAAGGTTGTTCTAGGAAATCACTCTTATAAGAGCTGGGTTGATAGTAGCTGGCCAAATGCAGGATCTTGGTTCATGGCCAAATGGAGGTTCTTGGTCAGGGCTAAATGCAAGTCTTAGTTTAGGGCCGATTACAAGTTCTCAGTTGATGACCAATTGTAGGTTCTTTGTTTAGGGCCAAACAAAGGCGGACGAATGCAGGTTTCTGTTCAGGACTAGATACAAGTTCCTAATTCAAGAGATTTTGGCGATGGTATGCATATACATGGTCCAAAAATGCATTGGAATTCTATGATATATATATTAAAACTTTTTAAAAAATTAGTCTATGGCATTGGTATTAAAGCAAATTGTATTATTATTTACCTCGATATATAAGTCAGCCGAGGGAAGCAAATCCGCAGTCAATGTCAATCCGGCTTCCATTCCTTGACTAAAAAGTAAAAGTAGCTCTCAATTACGTACTCACCCTCCTGATCACTGCCACAACAGCCTCCGCCGCAACCACCTTGCTCTCCGGCGCGCCGCCGCCTCTTTATCAAACGGAATGCTTCCACTCTTATTTATTTGACTTCCATTCGAGGGGCAGGAGCGCTCGGGCGAAAGGAAATGGGGAGTGAGCTGCGGGAGCCTGTGGAGTTGAGAGCTCTCCAATCGCTCGGTCTAGGGTTTGATCTCACGTCTGACTTTCGCCTGAGGTTTGCCAAGGGGTACCCTAATCGGCGGCTGGTGGAGCTTGACGAGGTGAATACCGGCGACCTCGTCTTCCCTGGAGGTCTCACTGTCCGTGGGGTGTCTAGGGATATCGGGTGTGACAAGGGGGATCGGATTCGGTTTTGCTCCGATGTATTGGAGTTTAATCAGGTTTCTCTAAAGTCCCTTTCTCCCTATTTTATTTTGGCGCATTCTGTGTGAGCACCGGCTCCCGGTTGAATTATTGTACAGAATTGAATCGGATGTTAAAATTTTGTGGCGGTTCCAAGGTTAGATTGATTAGAAAAACCAAGGAATGAAATAAGTTGTATTATTTTTTTCAATGATTTTCTGGAAAGATAGAAGATGCGTCGTGTTCTTGAACTAGCTTTTTTGACGATCGAATGGTCTCTTTTTTATATTCTTTGTTTTCTGCATTCTGTTGGATTTAATTTCAAGCTTATTTTGCTGTGCTGAAGCTGTTTCTTTCCATTGTTCTGTTTTCTTTTGTATTTGTTAGAAACAGAAATTTAAGTGATCTTTTGTGTGGTGAGATAGTAATCAAGGTAGTTGCATCCGCTGTCTTCAGTTTATAGTTGAGGCAATCTAACCATTTCTTTTGACCTGGACTTATAGGTTGAGCTTCTAGATATTGAAAACTGCTTTGTGGCAAGAAACCAACTTCGGACAAACTTTTAGGTTTACACATTCGTTGGCTATAGGAAGAATTTTTTTTTTTTGGGTTCGAATGAGCCTTTCTCCTTGTCAAATTTTTCTTCGCTAATTTAAGATATATTATTTAATAATCATTTGGCCAGTGTCTTTTGATTGCGAGAAAGTAATAAGAGCTAAACTTAATGTAAGTACCTCTGCTTCTCTGATTAACACAGTCAATGTCCACGAAGAGATGATTTCTTGTTCATGCTGCATGATGGGGGATCCTTAGAGTTTTACCAAACGTCGAAGTGATAAAAATTGATGGGAGAAGTGTTCTGAGTCTGATGGTAGTTATTGTTGGTTCCAATTTACTGGATCGCTAAAGGACAAATCGAAAAATGAGATTGGACTTTTGGGAATTCTCTTTTTATTATTTTGAAGGAGTGAAAAAATACAAGTCTAGGTGTTTTACAATGCAACACAACACCTAATTTTATACTAACTAAGACATACCGAAACAAAACAG